TATTATTATTAGTTTAGTAATACGGAGTCAGAAACGTGTGAGGCAATGTACTTCCTATAAAAAAATTTAGCTAGGAAAGCTATAATTATTTGACAGCCCCTATGTAGAATTTTTGCTTCATCAAACTGTGTCTATAGTGTTAGTAATTTTCTCAAAACTCGAAATGAGAAAAACTTGTTAACCGGGTAGACATTATTCTAGTGGAAAGTCTCATTATAATATGCCTTTTGCAGCTAATTCTATACTTTAGAAACCTATCTGCTTGATGCAAATTTTGTTTATTGTCTGCCAGAACCCATAAAAGCTCTACGCTCTTACTATAATAAAACATAAACAATAACAAATTTGTAAAATATTTTCCTTAACATAAATTCGTTACCTATATTAAAACATTATCCTACTCTGAAATATAGTGTCCTTTAATTAATATATTTCTATTTTAATATTTATATATTTGGAAAATTGGAAATGTTCAAGAGAAGTATATTTTGTATACTATTGATTTGAAAATTTACATGGAAAATATGCCTTGATATTTATTTTTAAAACCTGAAAACGTGTTCTATATTAAATTGTCTTTCACGTATTCATTCAGTGTACGGGTTATATGAAAGTTACGCGCCGCATCAATTTTAAATGAACGCAATATGTTCAAGTAGACCGAATTACAAACTCTTCAAAAAGAGTACATAAAACTTTCATGAACATCGTTCAAAGCAAATTTATAATTAATTTAACAGCGAGTGGTTGTACCACGTATATACACATTTATTCCTGTATTTTCTCGAAGATGTAGGTAGAATTGTACAATCTGTACTAACATGTTGTCGAAAATCAAAAATCGCTTGTCACACGAATAACAATCCTAATGTCATTACAATAAATCAGTAGATATAACATTTAGATGAACATAATAAAAAAAAATGTAATTTATTTACAGGTATAACTCTAAATTAAATCAAATGTTTTTAACAAGCTAAGTAAACTATAGTCTTTAAATTATTACACATAATGTTGACGTGGTAACTCTTTTTCAGTACTCCTTATGGCACACGATCAGTAAACACTAAAAAATATCACACAAATCACTTTTAATTGATTTTACCGACATAATTAAATAAAAGTTATAAACTTTCTATCGTAAAAATTATTTCCCAGTCATTGTGCTAACAACGTCTGTTCTGTGAATTCAAGTTTCTGTAGATTCCTCTAATGCTTATTCCAAACGGATTTAATTCAAAAAAGCCACTACAAAGAGAACTCCCTTCGCTCTTTTATCTTATAGAATAAAGATCAAGTTCGCTTGATGTTGAATGTCGTTTTTAATCAAAGACCGAACTTCTGTTTTGTTTTCTTGTTTGTTTTGCGATAATAGAAAAGTTTTTAATTGACCAGTCTTTGTTTGTTCTTTACGTTTAGGTTCTTGTTGTAAGCAAGATCGATCAGTTACCTGAAACCTTGGCTTGATCTTAGGTACGTAAATATATACGTAATACCTTAAAGGTCACACACACGTGTACTCATGAACTTTACTATGATATGAAATGTCTAAACATCTAGAACCAAAAAGGATTAGTAAGACCTATTCTTTATGAATAAAATAAAATGATAAAACTACTTGAAAACGTGTAAGTGGTTCTAAATATTTAAAATGCTTTGTGATCATCACGAGTGAAATAGGTATTTATGAAATTTACTTTGACTTGACCCGATGTTTATACTTATATGTCTCTAAATACTTGTGATGCCAATTATTTTTTACCTTATGGCGTATTTACAAAAAGAACACAACACTAGGGTTTGTTAAAATTAATCTCGTATGATGCTGCATCTCCAGTCATACGGCTTTAATACAAATAACAATCCAAAAGGCCTGATTTTTTAGATAATACAGAAACATTTATTTAAAATAAAATTATCTGTAATTTAAAGGAACTTTTTAAAACAAGTTCTAAGGTTTATTATTTTACATAAAGTTGTTACTGTACATATTGTCTAGCTAAGCCCTATTTCTTCAGGTTTATAACCCCTGATATGGGTAGACGCAAGCTGTTTACTGACTTACAACTTACTGCGATCACAAAGCCAGCTTCACTAACTTTGTAACACAATCAAGGCAATGTTCCGCTTACTTACTTGTGCAGACAAGCCAATTGTTCTCGACGTTACGATATCTTATAATTTATGAAATATACAATTGTATGAAGTCATGAGAGAATTACCAAAATGTTAAAAAAAGAAATTTAAATAGAAGCCTAGATCTGAAGATCTGAACGGGAAGATCGGAAGATCATAATTTAAGAATCTCGTTGAGGGCTGGAAGGAAAAGAGTCGATAAAAATGGTTTTTTTCAAGAATTTTTAATGGAAAGTTTTAGAGATCTTAAAGGGAGATAGCTAATAATTTGAGAGTTACGTAGAGTACTAAAACATAAGATGCAATACATGTGACGTCGGTGGCGATATCAGCAGCCGACGGGGCCGTGGGCTGCCAGGGAGTGAGAACCTCTTGTGGCAAATTAGGGAAACTGCAGTAGGAGATAAAGTGGCGACCATATCGCATTAAGACGTAATCGGGCCACTACACCGTTATTGAAGCTTTTGATTGGGGGAAGTTTTCAGCTTCCGCCGGGATAGGACCTGGTTACTCAGGGTACTGAAGTCGGCCGTCGGGGTGGTTTTCAGTGGAAACACCACATACTCCTGGGTCTTACGTCCCCAAGGAGGCGTACAACCGAAGGAATTTCCCCCAAAAATAGAAGGTGCAAAACATAAGTATTTGTTACAATTTTATTTTTTTTAAACTACTCGAGCACGCGGGGCCTTTTACAAACATTTATAACATGGATACAAAGAATACCGAGGCCCAGAATAACAATTTATGGATCACACAAAGTGTAGTCCTATGTGGGGATCGGACCCACAACACAGCGCAGTAGGAAACGGCAAGGTGACAGCTTTATCAATACGCCATCCGTGCAGTCCGATAAATTAGTAGTTAAAAGCTCAAACAACTAAAAAATTTTGCACCGACCCGATGCTGACTCTTGATTGGTATATAAGAAACGATTCTTACACTATCATACAAACATATAACATAACATAATGTACGAAACAAAACCTCAATACTAAAACTTTCCAACGAGGTAGCTAAAGAAAACAAATGACTGACCAACAATTATAGAGAATATTTTTATCTCCAATATAGTCGATATTCAAACCGTTGCTCGATAACGGTGCAAAAAATGAAGCACCCAAATAGGCGAATGTCTGAACCTTTTCAGTTTTCAAAGAACACTTTAAAAGTTCGGTGCAAATATTCAATTGAACTCAGAGTGAACTGAGTTCATACAGAGGTAGAACGTGCTGGTAACAGAATCTGAGGGCTTGTTTGCATACACTCATCCGCCGATATTTCTATTGAGAAAATTGTTTGTACTCAAGAAAGGTTTTGACGGTACCCGTTGTATTGGATCACATCGTACTTTAAAGTACTTAAAGTAAACATTTAAAATAAAAAAATAAAGGTTTCAAGAATGAGTCAGATTAAATTGTTTAAGCGATGAAATGTGTGTGTGTAATGTTGACATACTACATGTACTTAAACTGAGTCCTTTTCGACCTAATAAGTAAATACAAGGCAAACAAAAGCTTCCACTTGCTTCTGTCCTCACAAGCCGGAAGCGTGTAACGTCTCTCATTAAATATAATGATCAATTTGACCGTTATGTTCTAAAAGTAACACACGGCCTTACTCACCCCTGTTACAGCTATCTATCGTAACAAAATTTGTTCAATTAGATTTTAACAATTCTGTTTATAAACTTGTTTTCTCTTTCCATGATTTTCATTTCCTTTCCGTATGCATTGAAGAATATGATTTAAATGCATGATACAACAAACCAAAGCATCGAAGTAACAACTTCACATGAAATATTCGAAGCAGAACTAGTAATCTTAGTAGTATCAAGGTGCAGTTTGTTATTCAACCACCTAAATGATAAATGATAGTTACTTTCTATAGATAGATAGTTAATGATAGTTAATAAGTAAATCTTTTCAGATATTATTACAAATCGGACTTTACAGCTAGAAGGAGCCGGATCCGGAGCCACATTCAAAGCACTGTGATTATAATAAAAATGGAAAATGATAACAATATTGTAAATAAGCAAATACTTTCTTAATAACAAAACACACAAGTTATTAAGCAATTTGTATTTCTAATCTAACAAAACTATGTATTTACATTGAGTTCCCTCATTATGGAAGTATCTCGAATTCTGTGTGTTCCACATGTTCATGAAACTACACGACTAACTTTACGCAAATATCTCTAACACAGTTAGCTTTGCAGAGCTCTAAAGATACATACTCATATGAGGATTATTGACATGAATGATTCATGTATGACTGCACTTTAGACACTCGTCAGCTATTTCATTCGTCTCTCGCTGATGACTGAGTAAACATATTCGTGAAGGTAGCACATTTTTTTCGAGCAAATTATCTTCTAGGCAAGTTTTATAATATACAGTGATATATATACATAGACTATAGAGAGGCGTTTAAACTTAGTACGAGTTTAATACGACCCAGAACTTCTGACATTATTAACAACAAGTAGTCAAGTAGAGCAATTGAGGAGTGTCTTTTCAAAAGGGCTTATTTCATCACTAACATATTTTTCAGAAAATCAAAAAAACTTCAAACAATGATTTGATGATTAAATGTATTTTGAATTTTAATACTATGTTTACATAATGTTGACATGATTTTTATAGCACTGTTATTTTTTTACCACCGACCCCACGAAAGTATTATTTAAGGCTGTATCTTAGAAATAAGCACTTTTGACAAAGACTTTTAGAATTAAGTTGTTTTGTTTAGTACCTGTTGGAAATAAGCTGTTTTGATCTGTACTAATAAAACCCTTTCATAATGAATTATTTTTTATTAAGTCTCACAATTAGAAAGAAAAATCAAGTTATTTATTGTAACCTAAATACGCACTTCTCCTACATCATCATCAAGGCAATTACACAAAGATTCATCTGGATTTTCCATGTCTGTATCAGGGGCAGGTCTGCAACTGTTAATAATATCTTTATACCAAGCCAATTCTTGTATATTGATCCACTCTTTCACAAATTGTTTAGTGAGTAAATTATTTACATCTTTTTTCTTATTTGCTGATAGTTCCTTGTTCTCAAATACAGCAGTACATATTTCTCTAGGTATTCTTTTTCCCCGTTTCAACAGTGTTTGAGCGACTTCATTAGTCTCAAATCTGTAGTTTTCGAAAGCTTTTATTTCACAGCCTACTGTCATTCCTCTTTTGACTTTTTTTTCTATCTTAATCCGTTTCATTTTTTGCAATCCCTCTAAGTTATTAAAATTTTCTTTTAGATCTTTTATCTCGAGTAGTTGCCAATCTTGCCTTAATAATTTCAAAGTTCCGTGCTTTTTCAAAATTTCGTCATAGCCATCCCTTGTATTTATAATAGTTTTTTTGCGGATTTCCTTTTCTAATCGCCCAAACACCCTATCCGCTGGCAAAAAACTATGACCACGAACTGGAAAGTACAGATGGATGGCCTTAAGATGCATAGGAGATTTTGAAAACAGCCATTGGATCAGCGTTTGGAGGACGTAGTTATTTTTATTTTGCCCTCCACAACCATCACAAAATAAACGAATAATTTCTACATTATTTGCTAAATCCATGCAAGTTAAGTAGTGATAAAGTGCAGATGAAATTTCTGTAGACCCTCTGTTAAATGAAACTTAAATGGGGAAAAAGCATCAAAAAGGACAGCGATGTACATATATAAATTATATAAGCCCTTTTGTTCCGTAAATATTAGAAAAAAAACAATTTTCTATTAGAATTAAGCTGTTTTGAAAGAGAATGTTTAAATTGATTAAATGGACTAAAATGCTATGGATATAAGTCTATTTGACGCGTAAGGCTTTTTTTGTAATCGATTTTCTAAAGGAAATAAGCTGTTTAGAATCAAAATATCATTGAAAATCATTGAGAATATAGTGTTAGGATCGAATCGCATCAAAAAAAAGAAATTTTCCAAAATGAGAAATAAACCCTTTTGAAAAGACACTCCTCAATTGTAAAAAATCGGTTAGGTACTTTGTAGCAACTTATTCGGCAAATAAATGCTTTTCAGTGTCCAATGTTCAGTGATCTGGATGGAAGCTAAATTAAATTAAATAACAGTTTAATTACATTGCTCTGAGTTTCAGGCAACAATATCGTTGATACAAACCATTATTGAAAGTGAGAATGCTCTTGGTGCTCATAACAAATGCCTTATATGTCCAAATATTTTTACACTACGTCTGTCTTAAGCTAATACTTACTGCAGTACCTACTGTGACACAGACCTGTAACAAAAAAAATAAAATAAGTATACATAATTAAGAGATGGAGCAATGAAGTCAAGAAAGTGAAAATAATTATATTGATTCATTCTGTATACCATTATCGTGGAAATATATTTACAATACACAGCATCACTTGTGATAATCCATGAATATTTATTCATAAATGGCAAATACTGCTATAATTTAAAAATACTTCGTGTAGACGCCTGGATTGTTTCCATAAAAAAATATACAAACAAGTTTAAAATGTTTTCTTTTCATTTTGCTGTAATAATGTCTAAATACTCGTAATAGAAAGGAAACTATTAAGAATACATTTAAAATCCCGTCCATTTTCAAACTTTTATTATTAGTAGTAATTTCAAACTATTACAGATTAAAAGCACGAAACATTTAGTTGCATAAACATTAGTAATAAAGTGTAGATACGAACACAATATTTGCCCGGTAAAAGCTTTAAGGCTGTAAATATTGTTATAGTTCATACCAAGCACGAAATCACATCACATTAGATTCACATGACAAGCTGCATACAGTTAAATATAACAGATCCATTTCCTGTCTGAGTAACTTTCTTACATAATAACTTTTAACAAGCAATAATATAAAAATATACATTTGATAAATATTTTTATCTTTGAAACGGCTCTAACGATTTGTATTAATTAACATTAACACTCACCTCACAAAACGCGACTTTATGGTACAGTAGACCTAATTCACCTGGACTAATTAATCTAGGTTATTTATACGACTGCCAAGGAAAGGTTATGTTTTTCGCGCGTATCTTGTATGTTTTTTTGTAAATTTCTTCATTACTTCGTGTCTTCCAAATGGCTGAATGGATTTCGACAGTTAAGGTATTGTGTTATCCGTCTTAAAAACCCAAGTATCCTTAGATGACTTGACTTCTTGAAAGAAATAAACAAAATGGCGGCATTATGGCGCAAAATAGTAAAAGGTTAAAAAAAATACCAAACTTATTGAGTAATATATCAAAATCAAGAAAATTGAAAGGGGATTACAAATATATGTATATATAAGTTATACAAAGAATAATAAATTGTTTTAAAAGGTTTTTGATAGAGTAAAAATGGGCCAGTTTGTATCGGACCTCGTGCTGTTTCGTCCTTTTATTGAGATGTTTTTAATTATGTAGACTTGTTAGTAGATTTTATTCACCTGCTTCTCATTTTATTGCATAGGTGATCTAAGTACATTGGTTAAATAACTTAATTCACATTCCTTTTAAAAAACCTTACTGTCGAGTACCACTGTTATCTTACACAATATACAAAAATTAGTATCATAATTAAGAAGTGAGCGTTCATTTTGATAATATTTTTTACCAAACTAACGTATTATCTATGGCTATCGAAGCGCTTCTTCACGCCCATATTGTCAATGACGCATTAGTTGTACACAAATGGTATAAGATTATTCACTCCTCAACGAAGGTTCTTTGATGAGTCTGATTCTAGAAAAAAAATTCTATAGCAAACACATAAAAAATATATTTTACATAGTTTTTATGCGGTTATTCAAACGTTACGTAACAAATATCTACTGAGCGTGAGGAAGGACGATGTATTAAAACATCTACATGAGTGTTCTCAAATCAATCACTCTGGCACTGTTACAAGAAAGATAGCTTAATATATTACTACTACTGATTTCAATATAAAACAATCAATGACTGATCAATCTGAGATATGCCTAAACCGTAATTATGGGGTCAAAATCACTACATTTAAAACATTCACAGGAAATTTAAACAAAATCAAGAGAAACCCTTAAACCGCTTTGAAATGAGGGGTGGACAAGTATATTTTATATATTTGCTGACACACTACACGAGATATTTATACAAACGACACTGTTTTTAGTTTATTCAAATTTAACAGCTATCTAGACTAATACATCTGTAAAGAGGTACTTTTATGCACACACACACAATTGCCTAGTGAAAAAAACAAATGCTGTGGATTTCATTTGTTTATCATTTCATATTCTAAGCACTCTTTAAACATGGCGCATAGCTCGACCGAAATTTTATTCGAAATTCCTACGAGAATTGTAAATGAAATGTGAAAAATGAAATCATATTTGTTACCGTAACATAGGTAGCTCGTAGAATAATCATGAGCAGGACGGTAGACGAAAGGTACATGTCTTCCAACCAGTTGGACTAATCATCTGAGTAAATCTGACGACATGATCGAGTACTTTAGCGCCAATTGAAGCTTCAGACCTAAGTCCAGCAGCGAGCTCCAATAGTTTGAAAGATGTGTAAGGGATGGCAGGAAAATTTAAAAAACTAGGAATTATTTAACCGAAATCTTCTGAAACATGAACATTTCACGTTTGCCTAAATATTGAATTATATTAATATCTAAAAACCACACCATGTCTATAAATATGCAGCATAATATAATAGTATGCATCACTGTTCCTGTGAAGACTGGAACTAGTTTCATTTTTCACAATCGTTCAAATAATTTTTACTGAGTATTCTGTGTAGCAGCTCTTACGTGTTATAAAGTTTTTCACAGAAAACTAAAATGTTAAAAGTAAATTCATTATGTTGGCAGAAATTTTATTTAGAAGTAGAATACCGCGTGCTGTTATTTTATGCATTTTCCCTGATCAATGGTACTCGTAGGTTTCAACTAATTTAAGACATTCATGGGCGGCGATAGTCACTTACCGTCAGGTGACCCGTCTACTTGTCTGCCGACTGGTCAAAATATATACTGGACCTGTATAGTTTTAAAATTTGTTTTTTTTTTCTTTTTGGATATCTCCACATGTAAAGATTAAGTACCTGTTCCAAATATGATATGCTCCGTATGACATATTTGTTTCGAAAGGGTTACAAATCACGTATTAACGTACAGCGTGTAAGGGACGTCGTAACGAATACTGAAATAGTGTATTTAGATCATCATTGTGAGTCGAAAATCATTGGAATTTTCTGCCGAAAAAATAATAATATATATGTAATCAATTGTCAAAGGTTAAGATCTTTCCCCGTAGGTATCATTAACAGCCTGTAATAGACCACTGCTGCACATAGGCCTCTCCTTACAAAGGAGGTTTTGGTGTACTATTTTAATAACCCGTAGGTATCACACAAAGGTAATAACTACATGTCTATTCCGTGCAAACAGTCTACGCACACTAACACAAGTTGGCGGCCAGGGGGGAGGCCCGCGCTTCTACTGTTTGATTAATTACATTGCAGTTTTTAACCGTATGCGGTATTTATTAAAAAAAAATCGGTACTGATTGTGACATAATTTTTCATCATTTTTGACCAAAATAATGGAAAAAGGGAACGAAATATTGGTGAATTTTCTGTCAGAAAATTTCAATGAATTTCGACTCAGAATCGTAGTCTGAATACACTATTTCAGTATTTCAGATCAATCGGACATGTGAGAAGTGACATCCCTTCATCGCCTAGGAAGTCAGCTGATGATCTTCTTATTTTATAGCTAAGAAATTGGTCTCGGGAGCTATGATGCCACAGACAGACAGATAGATACACAGATTAAACTTATAACACCACTTATAACTTATAACGTTTTCCATCGGATGGTAAAAAGATAATACTCATAAACAACAATGGACGATTCATTTGTTACTTATTTTTTAAAACAAGTACGAATTGCATGCACATACAGTAGAACTGAATACATACCGCAGATTTCATGCAAGCCATAAACTTGTCTTGAATGCAATTTTTTTTTGTTTTACAGTATAAGCTCCAAGAAATGTTTTCTAAAATAGTAAATGAATACCGACAGCCAATCTGTACCGAATATAATACTATTATTACTGTTATTATGGCGAAGCCTGTTAGTCACCCAACGCCTAATTAAAAGCAAACTTGTTTCAGTATTAAGAGCGGGGTCTAACCGAATGCCTCTAAAGTCTGAAGGCCGAAAACATTATAATAAAACTTT